CATACATGGCTAAAAAGTAAACTAACATACCCGAGTACTAGAATAGTCAAGGCGTGCACTAGATCCATCTTTCAACCATAGCCAATATATATGCGTTGGACGGTTCCTTCAATAGTCGGCTCAAAGGTGAATATTATCATCTTTACCTATATTAGCTACACTACAAACAAACGAGTGCACAATAGATCAATAAGTTAACTAATACATGTTATGCATGTAGATGAAAAAGCATATGTAAATCACTTGTATGCTCGTTTAAAATTCTTTTTATGTCATAAACACTTTTCATGATTAGTTTGAAAATACTTTTCTGTCTTTAGAAATATCCCATCACAAGTACTTCGGGGTTTTCATAGTATGTTTAACGAACCATATCCGTCTACGGATGCGTCCTACTAAATCTTTAAAAGCGTACGTCCGCACTTGCTTGGCCCCGAACCATTTACCATGAAAGTATTGAAAACCTATGAAGCCCTCATAAAATCTTTAAAGTCATGAAATCACATTACATAAAATATTTCCATTGGCTATTAGAAAACCATGATATAAATTTATGTTTTCATGATTGGAAAACATCTTTCATAAAATTATGCATGCATATGCATTTTATTGAAAATACATAACCATTATTGCTACATGAAATGCATGCCTTAAGTGAGATGCATTCATGCCATAGAAATGCATAATTTAATAACATGAAATGCATCATAAAAATTGCCTTAATAACATCATTATAAATCATTCCAAACCATTCATCATTTCAAACAATCTAACAATTCATCATATCACATTAAAAGTAGTAAACTTCCATAACATCAAATCACAACATATATACATCATAAACACATCATTCACATAAATTGGCATCAAAAGAATTTAATTTCAATTAAATTACACAAGTCAAGCCTTAACCCCTAGAATGTCTCATTTAGGTCTGAATGGTAACCTTACGCTAACCTAAACATTTTCTTCCAATTTCAACACCAATTTCTCATATAATTTTATTCAATGGAACTTTGACATCAATAACTAACTCAATTAAGTATTAATTGACCAATTCTATGTATAAACTTCAAATTGGCCTTATTGGGCCTAAACCCTAATTTAGGTAATTTAGGTTAATTTTTCAATTTTAGTATCAATTCTCATTTTAACTCATCTCATTAAATTATTCTAAGTCTAAATTGATTAATTGAAGTATTAACAAGTAATTATAACATATACTAAAAGCAAATAAGGTTTCACCGTAGCTAAACCCTCGCTACAGTGAAACCAAAACGACGTCGTTTTGTGTCTTTTAGACTCAAAACGATGTCGTTTTCCCAAAATAAATAAGTGATTTTTTTTTTAATCAATTTTTCAGGATTTTGCACTTTGGTCCTCAAAGTTATTACTTTATATAAAACAGTTCCTCATTTTAATTAATATTATCAAAAGGTCCTTATCATATATATATTTTTTTTGGCTGGGTTTTTTTCATTAATTATTTTTTAATCAAAATAACTTTTTTCCCATCATCAATGGTTACTTTTTCTATTTTTAGAAATATTCATGAACTAAAATTAAATATTCTTCTAATATAAATTGATTAAACACCTCCTTCTAATTATATTTTTTTAAAAAAATAATTAATTGCATATATTTTTTATCTATCAAAATAAAAAATATTCCTAAGAAATATTTAAATTCAATTATATATATATATTAAATTAAACAATTTTTTTGTAATAATGAGTGTTAATTAATTTTTATTTTACAATTATCTTTTAAAATTATTTAAAATATTAAAACATGGATATGATAAACTTATCCACAACAACGCACGGGTATTGAGTCGGTTACACCTAAATCATAATTCGTTCCCATTTGGGCCGAATGTTATTTTAACCCTAATCTCATTATTTTCTTCTCAATTCAATACCAATTTCTAATACTAAGTCATTCAATTACAAATTAGTATTAAGGATTAATTTAATTGACATTTACAAGCCAAATTCATGCTTAAAACCTAATTGGGCCTTAATGGGCTAAAATTGGGCTTAAGCTAATTTAGCTAAAATACTTCAATTTTCATGGAATTTTTCACTTCCGCTCATCAAATCATACTTATTCAACTACCAATTAACCAATAATTCATGTGTTAAGTGAAGGAATCAAAACCTTAACATTTTGAAATCTAGGCCGAATGCTACTCTAGGAGAATTATTGAATTTTCTTCAAATTTAATGCAATTTTTCATTTCCAAACATTAATTGACACCTAATTAATACATAATCAAGCCTTAGAACATTAATTAAGTCAAAGGATCAAAAAGCCTGAAATTATTAATTTGGGTCGAAAGTTGACCTCTTCCTAACCCTAAAAATTTTTGATTTCTAAACCTCAATTTTAAGTTTAATTAACATGTTTCAACCTTAATTCCATGAATTACTAGCTTAATCTCATTTTTCTCAATTTTTCATTACCAAGAATCCTAACCCTAATTTTCAAAACCAGGGCTCAATATTGCAAATTAAAACATCCAAACCACAAATTAACATTAATTAAATACTTCTTGTGGTGTAGGTGAAGTTCACTTACTCAAATAAGCTTGAAGGGTTGAATTACTTGAAGAATTTCTTTTCCCCTTTTTTTCCACACAATTGGGCCTAAACCTTAATTTTTTCCCTTAATAGATTTTGATCTTCTAGCTTGCTTAGTTAGTTGATTTTAAGTGTTTGGAGGTGATTTGGTGAGTGTTTGGGTGGAATTTCCCGGAGAAAATTTGCAAGAATTTCCTTTGTATTTAGTGATTTTTCTTGCATTTTCTTGAATTTTTGGCACCCATATTTATAGACAATTTTTGGTGGACTTTTGACCTCATCTCTACCCTTGGTTTGCTGCAATTTGGTGTGATCCTAGCCCTTAAATCATGTTTAAATCCCAGCCTTTCAAATGGATTAATCTTGGCTATAAAACTTTCTTTTAATTTTAGCCCTCCATCTTCCCTAATTGTAACCTCTCCTTTTTACCTTAGTCAAAGCTCATTAAATAACCCCTAATCACATTGCTGGAAGTCAGCTAAAAGGGGTAAAAATCTCCTAAAATTTTACTTAATTTTGGTCCCTTAACTTACTAATCTTTTCTCTAATTACTCCTCCATACATCCTCCAAATTTTCAATTGATAGCTTTATGTTCTTTCTTTAAATATTTCTTAACAAATTTTTAACTCCTAAAGTTCATAGCTAATTTAATTTAAAAGTTTAAATTTTTAATTTTATGCAATTGGGTCCCTAACTTCTATTCAATTACATCCCTAACTCTAAAATTTTATTCCAAAATTTTTCAGAATTCAATTTATTTTCATAATAAATTCAAAAAATTTTTAAAAGAATTTAATTATCATTTTCATAATTTTTATACCTTTATTTAGGCCTTTAAATTAATTATTTAGTGTAAAAATTACACTATTTCCTATAGAAAATATTCCTTATGTGTAGAAAAATTCATCTAAAATTATTAAATATTCCTACACATCCTAAATGATTTTCTATATCCTTTGAATAATTTTCTTATACCTTTAAAGCACCTAAATTAATTAATTTACCTTAAAATTACTATTTATACATATTAAAATGCAAATAAAATATTCATAGAATATTCGAAAATTCATACAACAACATGGAATAATCTAAGACCCCTCTAACAAATATTTTAAGTAGTCAAAATATTTTTCACGCACATACAACATGCCTAAACTAATTGTTTCACACAAAAAGTTACTATTCATGTATCGTAAAATCAATAAATATTCATTGAGCACAATAAGATTATCTTAACTGCTCTGAATATTCTTTCAACACTTTGTGGATTATTCCATACCCTCAAAATAATTTTTATATGTTTTCAATATTTTTAATTATATTAAATTTCAGTTTTAGTCTGTATCGAGTATTATAGGCCTTCTCTGTTGTTTTCTAGCCTCTTCCATCATTTTTTTGCTGTTATAACCAGTTGAAGAAAGTCGAGCTAAGATGGGGCTTCAAGTTTGTGGTGGTTATTAATGATGATATTGGGCGGAGAATGGTGATTTAAGGAGAGAGGTGGCTAGCGGGTCACGAGTTAGGGGTTGTTAGGCTATTGTCTTTTCAGGTGCAACTTCCTTTCTTTCTTTCTTTTTTCTTTTCTTTTCTTTTTTTTTTTTTTTTGGGAGAAAGAAATGTATTTATAGGGATTTTTAGGATTTAGGATTAATTTTATTTTGGTCCCTCATTTGTCCACTTCTTTTAGTTTCAGTGTATATTTCTTACATTTTTTCTTCCAATCATGCCCTTAATTGAAATTGTTTAGTCCCCATTCCCTTGATTTCTTTTAATTCTGTCCCAATTTATTTCTTAATTAAGCCCTTATATTTTTATTCGCTTCCAATTATACTCCTAATTAGATGTTTTTTCCTCACTTCTCACATCTTTTTCAATTGAACCCCAAATCATTTTTTCATTTTTATTCTCTCTTTTTTTCTTTCTTTTCTTCAATTTTTTATTTATTTAATATTAAAGGAAGAATGGAGAAACAGATTAAGGGAAAGGGAGATGAATGGATGTTTCTCATTGTTATTGCCTCTTGGTGTGTTACTGTCATAAGTTGGGAGGACCCTCTCACCTTTTAAAGTTGCTTACTAGTTCCATTCCTGCTTACCTTATAATGTTAAATATTCTGATGAAGTTCTAGCTAGGTTAAAATAGTCTGCAGGTTCTGATGGATTTAGCAGGTAATTAATTTCAGGCACACGAGTCGCCTTAGCTTCTTCATAGATCAAGTGGATCTGATGGAAATGAAATGACCCAATCCAGCGATTCAATTCAGTATATGACTGTTCCAGACCTAAACTGACAAGCATGATACTAAATCATAATTAAATGTACTAAATAGCTTACAGCATTCGTGTGAGAATGTCTAGTCCGACATTACATCGTATAGATACTAATCCCTGAGAAAGAGATACTTGTTGGAGGTGGTGTTAATTTTTGGCAGAGAAGAAAGCAAGAGCACCGACAAATGGTGCATTGATATATGTAGCTGGTTCGGATTGCTGATAGTTATTTCGATCATCAGCGAAATTGTCTCTGTTATCAGGACCGCCTAATATGGCACCGTCAAGGACATTCGGATTGGGAGAGCTGGAGTAGAGGTACTGAAACCCGTCGTTGCAGGAAATGCGATTTGGGTGTGCATGTATAGATGGCACTGAGGAACCCCTGTGATGCACATGTTGCGGATACCTGTTACCGAATCCAACCATGTAAGACATCTTCGCTGGATTATCACCTAAGATATAGTCCACCTGCTTCTTCGCCTGTGCAATGAGCGACTCTGCTGTCACTGTTGAACCACCGCATGTGGCAACTCCTCCATTTGAGCCAAGATACTTGGCATATGTCAAGAGAAGGAAAGTTGTTGTGGTCACATATTGCAAATTGCTTTCACTTGCTTTATAAAAAAGCCCCCCTGCAAAGCACAAGGAAATGTTGTAATATTCACTAACTTTTAACATTTCTAATAATTAGTATCTCAGAAATAAAGAACAAATTGCTAACCAGGAGTGTATTGGGCCTGGAAACCAGAAGTTCCTGGAATTAGAGAGCATATATAGTTGTCTGAATGCGATTTATACAGCTGAAATGCTTCAGTAGTTTTCTCCAAGAATTCCTGTTGAAAATACCACAAAGTCAAGACTTTATTTGGTTTCTAATATTTATGCAGCTGAAGCAGGAGATATGCTATAGAATAGAACCTTGGAAAGAAGAATCTTAGTCCCAGGTCGCTTGTCATCCCAGCTAAAGGAGTAGTCATCATCATCGGAACCCATTGTGTGACCATTTGACTGGATGTAAGCCAAATACGAGCCATTTTGTGAGGCTCTGTGAATCCATGACGCACCCCAAAGAAGCTCATCCTGAATGGTCAAATTTAGTCAAGAACTGTGATTGACTTCAGAAAACCGAGAAGTTTTGAACCAAAAGACTCTCTTACTTGGTATCCTGAGTAGGAACAGTAAAATGGGCAGACTGCTGAATTGAGAGAGTCGCTGTAAGAACCTCTATACCTGTCTGCAAAATTGAATACCTGCATAGTTACAATTAGATTATTTGTAAATGCAAGAGCAGAAGCAGAGGACTAGTGATCAGTGAATGTAGTTTCAATATTTAATGTTTACTTCCATCCCCGTATGAAGCAATCTGGCCGAATAAGAAGGGTCAGACTCCTTGAAAACAATTGAAGCTGCAGCCAATGCAGCAGCTGTCTCGGCAGCCACATCCGATCCCGGGTTCTGCGCGGTAACTTTGTACACATTGCGTGGTGTGTCCATGTCTTCTGGCCTCTCCCAGCACTTGTGATCCATGTTCGGGTCTCCAACCTGCATCATCCAGTGCACACCTAAGTTCCATTTCAAACTATCAAGCAATGCAGAAACCTAGCACGCTACTGACCCCTGCTGTCATCTAAAGAGTTCTATATTCCTGAGGCTGTAACGCCATTTTGCAAAATTGTTATTTTGTTTTGTTTTTAGTGCGGTTTGCTTTTTGATGAAGATGATTTTTCGTATGTGAACTTTATATAACTTCGTTATGCATGCTCACTTGAACATATAGTGTGCCAGGGGTGGCAGTGGCTGCTTTTAGAAGGTAGTCAGTGCTCCACCGAATGGCAGCTTTGGCATTCTCAATCTGATTTGGCATCGAGCTACCGAATTCAATGACACTCCATGCCAACAATGTAGTAGTGAAGGCCATTGGAAGGCCAAACTTGACATTATCACCTGCATCATAGTATCCTCCAACTAGGTTCACCTGAAATGCAAGACCAAGATAGTCAGTACGTACTGTTTCCTTCATTTTAAAAGGAAGTTAATTTATAGCAGAATTCTAAGTAGTACGTGATAAGTAGAGCCGTCAGACAACCCAGAGTCCCCCTCCATGTTAGCCGTTGGTTAGACGGCAGTTTGCCTGACCTCTGACCCTCAAAAAAGAGGATAGATTTTTCCAGAGCATCAGCATAATCTTGAGAAGTGAAGGCAGAGCTAAAATAGCCAAGAGAACAAAATATTATGAACAGTAGTGAAAACGTAGTAGCATTAGCCATCTTTGTTTCCTCCACACTATTGAATCTTATATTATACTTACTACAACGTATAGGACTCAAGGGCTTGTGGGTCTGAGCTATATTGAAGAGGAGCAGCCATTTTATAGACAGGAAGTTTGGGAGTTCGTTGGTCGGTAAGAGAGAGCGATTCATGCTGATCACGGGATCAGCTGCGCAAATTTGGACATTTTGCTGTAGAGACAACACACAAAAACTTTGTACAAAATATAAAATGCGGTGAACCTGAAAGTCATTGACATGACATTCAAAAAATAAAAAACTGAACAAAAGGCAAAAATTCATATTTCATACCCCTAAAATGATAGTTCTCGTGCATTAAAAAAGTGGGATTGTCTGGAAGAAGAGAGTAAATTACTATGAAAATGCCAAGGTACCTTAAAGGCTGCTTGAATTTTTGAACTTTGGATACCGTAATTAATGGCTGGAGTATGGAGTGTGGTAATGGATTTTGGTGGACATGTATTTTGTCTTTAGCAATGAAGTCACGGATACGTATAGAGTGAAAAATCACATGAGACTCAACAGAGCAAACGTGAGGCTATCACACAGGCGCACAGAGGTTGTTTGGCAAAAATTTGCTTGAACAGTTTTATTAGTTAAAGTCTATCCAGTCCAACTATAATTCCATAAGTCATGTGATTGGGACATGGGGGTTTCAATATTGGTAGAAGTCTATCCTTGGCTTGCTTTGTTCATTGAGATTAAGTCGCTCTAAGTCGAATTCCAACCGGGGTGATGAGAAAAAATCCACTTAATTACCAGCTGAGCCTAAAACGTCAAAATTGCTACAGTTGGTCAAAGATTATACAATTTTCTGGGCGGGAATTACCAGCTTCTTTGCGGCTTGATTTGTGAAGTCCTGAGAGAGCACAGGAGCCTAAAGATTGAATTGGTTCAGAGGAAAACTTTTTTAAGTCGGTGATTATGAATTCATGTGTCATCTTCAGATAAAGAGACAATATATTCTTTGAGTAACTGTTGTTGCTTGAAACTAAATGTTGGTTCCAGAAAAATTTGAGGCACCTTTTGAAGATTCACATGGAAACCATGGAAAGCATTGAAAAGAAAAAGGATAAAAAACACTAAATCATGCCGTAATTAACTCTTTTCCTTTTCCATAAAAGTGAGGCTTTCTATGATCAGGTGGTGTTACATTAATTCAAAATTTTCTGCTAGAAAGTACATGATCGACAGAACAGGAATATTGTAAATTCATCTCCTTACGAAAACAGCCATTTCGGTACGAAGCATGTGTTATTTGATAACTCAAATTTGTTTTTCAGTTAGACCGTTATGACTTATAATCAGGTGGTCGTTATAACAGATTTGTTCTGGTATTCCATTATCTGTCATTCCCAGGTTATTGCCAAGTAAATTAACAAGCAGATTAAACTTGATGCTACTTAAAACTCAGAGAAAACGTCATGATACTTGAAATCACATCCACTGGTCACTATATATCCAACACCAAAAGTAGTCAAGCATATGCAGCTATTTTAACTCAATTCCTTATCGAGCACAAAAATCAAATCCTCGTCGTATTGCAATCAAATTCCAGCTAATAAGCAGGCTATCAGTTTGTTTGAGATTTACAAATTTTGAAAATTAGGAAAAAAAAAAAAAAAGAAAGAGAGAAAAGAAGCTAGTTCTGCCTAGATTTTACTGAAGACTTTATAGCTATATACAATAATGACAAGGCAGCGGTGGATGGGTTGAGAGGCGCACATCAAATACTTATTCTTTTACAATCAAGTGGATTGAGACGCATGATCTTTTCAAGCTTCTAACTTGGGACAGATACTTGAGTTGGGATTTGCTATGGTGCCTGCAGAGGATGTTATAATCAGAACCAGGAGAATGTCTAATAACCACATAACAGAAGCACTGCAAACTTACAAATATCTGCAAGGCAAGGCTGTTTTGCTACTGGATCCTCTTCAAATGGGGGTGGAACTTGGCCGTAAACCATTTCACAACTCATATCTTCAAAATCTGATATTAAAAACAAATCCATTTATGATACAGATTTTGTTGTTTGCTTCAAATTCACCACTGGTTCAATTGATAATGGGGATAACTTACAGTTTGAAAGCATAAGCAAAGACTTACTAGGTATCATAGTTAATGGAAGCCCAAATTCATTAGTGAAGAAGTCTTGAGTAGGAATTTTGCACATGTTCACACACATTCCTACACATCCACTATTCTCAAGGTACCTTGATGAGAAAGAATTTTTCAAAATTACAGTTAGTATTGGGAAATTCGTTGAACATGATGAACTCATCTACTGTGCCTGGTTTGGTAGCAGCGTGAGGCAGAAAGAGATAGGCTTCAACAATTCATGATAGAATTTCTACCTGCACTTCTTTATATGAACTCCACTTCTTTGCTTCTCCCCATTTACCTCCACTTCCACAACCTTTTCAACAAGAACAAAGTTTTTCAATTGAAACTTTCAAGTAGTTTGCATTGCAAATGAATTATAAAACAGAGTTTCCTTTAGGCCATAAGACCTACAAAGAATTGTAAATAAAGAGATATATCCATTACCCTCTCTGTTGCACTTAAAATCAGTACAAAATGGTACAGAATGTTGAATTGTTGATCAGTTAATCAACATTACTTTCAAGAAGGCAATTAGTATTGACAATTTTAGCTTTGTGACAAAACACCTCAGAAGGCATTGTTAGGTTACCTCAGAAGGCCCAACCAACCATTGGAAGAAAGGTACAGTCAATGCAGCATTAAATTCTGCAGCCCATTTTGTAGGTGGAAATAATTTCTTGAACTGCAATACCAGCAGGTAGCTAGGTAAGCTTTCTGTGTTTGCAGGACAACAACTAGATAAGCTATAATATGCTAAACAAAATCATATATGAGCTTCAGAAATTTTACTCAGAGGTTCAATCATAAGTGCTCATGTAATTCTATCTCTCAAACATTCAAATCCAAAAACATACTAAACAAGAAACAATTAAGTTATAGGCAAGTGAGGAAGTCCACCTGCTCAGGAGCACCTGGAGGTAGCATAGACAAGAGAACCTCACGAACCACTTCTTGTTGCTGCGTGCGATTTCTTCCTTGCATTACTCTCCTTGAAGCATCAACAAAACTCTCATAGTCATAACCAAACCACCCCATCTCTTTACTCTCAGTACCATTTTTTGCAGGAGCTGCAAACTTCTCCATCTTTCTAGCAAATAGAGTCATGAATGCTTTCTCAAAGAACCCATCAATGTATTTTGTTTTTTGTCCTAAAGGAGCTGGTTCTCCTGTTGGCTCTGCAATCCTACACTTGATAAAACTTCTTGGTCTACATTTATGTAATGAAAGATCTTGTGGAGGTCTAAACAGGACAACTTGGAGGCTGCTTAGAGCCACCATGGATTAATATGCTGTAATTAGCTTTAATTCTTGGACTTCCACTAGTGTTTTTGACTTCTGTTATATTTACTTTGTCTTTTGGGAATTCGAGAAGGAAGGATGTGTGAAGGTAAGAGGAGGGTGTGGTTGGCTGTTGTTGTTTCTGCATTGTTTCCACACAAAAATTTAAGGCCATACATTACATTTCTGTAAGGGATTTATATCTGCTTTTGATCTCTTATTCATTTGATTTTTTGAATTACTTAAAAACCACCCAGCCAACTCAAGAATGTCAGAAATCAGGCGAAAGGAGTCGAAGTCATTCTGCAGGCTAATATAGGAATTTCATAGCCAATAGAATCAACTGGCTTCATAAACTTCTCTCTTCCTTAGACTTGGAGTCCAACTTTAGAGAAGTACTTGGATATTTATTAACCAGAGCAAAGTTTGTGAGCCAGGCAAACAATGAATTTTTTGTATGGAGTATATTTTATTTACTAAATATATTTATATAATTTTAAAGATATTTATTCATGTAATAAGTGGGGTTTTTTTTTAGCTATATGGTTATTTGGTTTGAATCCAAAAACATGCTCTAAGAAAAAAAAATAAAAATGGATTCACCTATTTGGGATTGAATATATAGATAAAGCCAAAACTCAATCAAATATAAAAAGTAAATAGAAAATACATGATTATTAAATAATATTAATAATAATAATGTCACCAAATACATAGATAGGTAGCATATGTCCTCAATGAAGACAATGTTCGTCGTGTTGATATGTTTCTATAGTAATTGCCAATTAGATTATAGATAAAATAAAAGGAATTTACCTAAGGAAAGAGAAAATAATAAAAAAAAAAATTGTTTTTTCTCTTGTATGGAAGAATAAAAAAGTGCATGATGGGGTCAGACTAGCTAGGTACAATCCACGAGATTAACTAAAAGTGAATATATATAAACGAGGTTGCAGTTACAAGGGAACATGGGCAACGATGAAGCCCCAATTTAGCTTATCAAAAAGAGAAAACTCTACCTAAACACAAAGAAATAAAAAAAGTTGGAAGTTTTTATAAATTTTTTTTTAAAATGCTAATAAATTCTATAAACATGATAGTGGAAATTTGTCTAAAAAGTGATTTCGAGAAATTATTTTTTTGTAAAATTAGCAATATTAGAAAAAAAAAAGAAGACAAAGTTACAACACCAGATGATCTTCTTTGGTAGGGCTAGTGTTTTAGAGTATAAGATATGTGGGTCAGTAAGCCCAATATGCAATTACCTAGCAACCTAGCAGGCTTGCATAACATCGCATCTTCGTAAGAATTAGGCCTATAAACATTGACAAAAGGAGATCTCATTGCATTATAGTAGGCCAGAAACAACCTGTTTACTGAATTTGTCTACCCAAAAGGTCTCTCTTTCAATTGATCATCACTTGTCATTATGACATGATAAGCTTACTTATTCTCCATAAAAAAAAAAAAAACATGATGACGTTTATTAATCACTGACTAGGTTTGCAATTGATGAAATTTAACGGTTCGATGGTATTAGTGTAGGACCAATAAAAGAAAAATCCTTTTTTTACTTGTATTAGAAACTAGTCAATCTTTTGGCTATATAGTCATAGTTTTTTTTTTTTTTAATCACTTGGAACTGACCATCCATCAACCACCTTTGATGAGTATGGATTTAATGCAATCTAAATTCATGTAATTGAGAAATAAAAGAACAAGATGTAAGAATGAAATCTATTTCAGTATTATTGAATAAAAAACAAGATGTTACAACACTATCACACATTAAAATTGATCTTTGATTTAACAAGAGTTTGTAAAAGATATGCACCACTATTACAAGAAAACATAAAAAAAATTGAAAAATAACATAAGAGAAATCTAGAGAGAAGGAAAACAATTCTTTTTCTCCCTACTTATTTATGATCATTTGTCCTCTTATAATAGATTTCGTCCTATACTAACTAACCCCGTAACTAATCTCTAACAAACTCCGACTCATAATCTTACGAGTTCCTAACTAACAATAACTACTTTAGTGAACTAATTATGCAACTCGCTAATGGCTACGTAAGAAATGCAATCTCATCACGTAATCCTTGGATGAGAATAATTTCTACATAAGAGCTAGCGACCCTATCATGTAAAACCCTACTAAACGGACTCGAAGATAGCCCATTAATACAATTGCATCAATACTCCATTTCTTAAGTGACCTTGTCCTCAAGGTTAAAATGAGAGAAACATTTTTCCATATCAAACGTAAAATTCTAAGTAACATTTAAATGTGTTCTATTCAACCATTGTATGAGTAACTTGGTAGTTGCTTGATTACCTCTCGTTACCATTTTCCTATTTAAATGCCTATTAAAGTTGCATGTAGCTCTAATGACCATTGTAATTGAGCTTGTGATATGACATTACTATGGACAAGTTTAAGTTGTGAAACATGAATAGTGAAATGAATTAATGAAGCTGGAAGTTAGTTGTAGAGTATAGGCAACATCTTCGACCTTGTCAATAATTTTATAAGGTCTATAATACACGAGGGCGAGTTTTGGTTCTTCGATGCATCATAGCATGTTATTTATTAGCCTATAACTTAATATACATAAAATCTCCTATCTAAAAAAATCCTTTAATAGACACGTCTCTATGTATAGAGACTAGAAGACTATATCTTTCTAGCTCTTGAAGAATCCTCTTAGACTTACGAAGTTCTTGTATATTGATTTATAGGATAGTTACAATACTTTGTAACTTTTCTACTTGGGGTTCCTCTTGTGGAGTGTCGATTCGTGAGTCTTCTCGAATCTCATCGAGTTTAACTTTCCTCGAGTTGGTCCTAGCATCTATATATTCCTTCTCAAGAAATACAACATGCCTAACCATGAACACTTTTTGTTCTTGTGGTTGGTAAGAGTAATATCCATTTGTTTCATTTAGATATTTCATAAATTTACGCTTTGTTGATTTAGGCTTTGGCTTGTCTCCATCCAAACGTTTGACATATGTTTCACGAGTTCTAAATCTAAAGAAAGACAAATTTATTTATTTTTTCTTTTGATATCTCATATGGAGTCGATCAACGATTTTGTTGAAACCTTGCTCAAAATAAATATCGTGGTAAGGAAAGCATATCCTCAAAATGAAATGAGGATATCAATTTGACTCATTATAAATCGAGTCCATGTCTAACAATGTCCAATTCCTTCTTTCGGATACACCATTCATTTGTAATGTTTCAAGTGAGGTCCATTATTAGAGAATCCCATTCCCTTTTAAATGATCTAAAAATTCAATGCTTAAGTATTCTCTATCTTGATTTGATCAAAGTGCCTTAATACTTTTGCTTGTTTGTTTCTCGATTTCAAATATAAATTCTTTGAACTTTTCAAACCCTTCGATTTGTGTCTCATCAAATATAAATAACCAAAATGTAATCTATCATTGATAAAGTTCATGAAGTAATTATATCCTCCTCTTTCTTGAGTAGACATAGGCCTATATACATCACTATGTATGAATCATGATAAATTAGCGAGTTTTTCTTCTTTTCTACTAAAATGGGATTTCATCATTTTGCCAAGTAAACAAGATTCGTAGACATCAAAAAATTCATAATCAAATGATTCTAAATGTCCATTTTTATATAATTTGAATATACAATTCTCGTTTATATGGCCAAGTCGTTTTGTTTAGATCATTAGTCTTATTATATATAGGTGTGTTTATATTTAAAACATATAAATCGTTATTATTTTAGCATTTTTATATAAAACATTATTTTTATAAAAGGAACAACCTTTTTTCTTAAATAAAAATGAAAAACCATCTTGGTCTAAACAAAAAATAAACATGATATTCGTTGTTGTACAATATAATAACAATTTCTAAGTATACACATAAGTCCGGATGATAGTGCTAACTTATAGGTGCCTACCATTAATAATGGTACAACTCTTCAACCATTACTCATACATAGATCAACCTCACTTGAAGTGGTTTTCTTGCTTCTTTTAGTCCTTTTAAATTTATGCAAATGTGTACACAACATGCGGTATCAAATACCCATGATGTTAGACTAGAGGTAGAAAAGTTCACTTCGATAATATAAATACTTAATATGCTTTCGAACTCTTCTTTTGCACCCCTTCATAGTACTCCTTATTGTTTATCGTATAGAGTATTTTCTCATGTTGGAAAAAATTCCTCTTATTCATTTTTTAGTCAAAGAAGTTTATGCCATTTGAGGCATCACTCCCATTAATCATTGATCTCATCGATATATTACTAGTCATACTTGTACAACAACCTTGATAGGATAGAAAAATATACGATTTGGTTAATTAAATTATATAAACAAATCATAAATTAAAAAAGTAAAATCTATGTTAGCTCCCACTATTTTTTAAAAAAAATTATATAACCTTCATATATAGGACTTACGAAGACTTTTTGATTCGTCTTCTTTAGTGGGTTAGGATCTCATTCTCTAACATGCACTAACTTATCTCAACAAGTCATACATGAAGGATTAGGTAGGTAAATCCTTACTAATTGCATCCAATGTAATTTTTAATCTCATTGGCATGACAACTCCTTATTATATCACATCTTATGTGAATACCAATTTTTTCAACAAGTTTATTGGACCTTGAGTTGTCTCGATAAACCCAACAACTCATTTTAAGTTAGACCCAACATTAGGGGACATCGTATGACCTATGATTTGTTTCTCACGAGAAAGAAATGACCTTAAGTTATCTCAATAAGCCAACAATTATCAAGAGAGTTCCCTCCTTATAACATTTAAAGGCATTTAACTTAATATTTAATTTGAAGGATTTTAATTTGGTAAGTCTTATTCTAATATGCATACTAATCAATCGTATTAGTTCTAATATACATACTAATAGTAATCACATAATATAAAATATATATATCTAATGCATGACACAAGGATCGATGAATGATAATAGATTTCTAATACTAGTCCTCTCGAGCCACGAGGAGACTAGTGGGTCAAATACCTAAGTGAAAAATAATTATAAATTTTTTAGGATTTGTCTTCACTTATTGGCTTTTTCTCATTACATCTATTCTAATTACTATCTTCTACTTTTATATTTATTTGAATAAGAAACCTCGAGTTACATTCAATGGGAGTAAGATGAAAAGAGAAATACAATAGAGTAATAGAAAAAGCGGGACATGCATGCCCTATTTATCCAAAAATTACATATTCATTCCCATAAATTAGGTCGACTCATCCATTCCATTCACCCATGCTTCAATCATATTGATGCATGACATACTAATGAAGTATGTTTCATTTAAGTCGTAATTATAAATCTACTTTTTGGTCATTTTATAAATTTATCAAACTTTGCCTAAATTTTAATTTTTAAAATTTTCTAGACCTTAGACTTATAGGCTTTTTGGGCCTCGAAGGCCCATGGGCTTTGATACCCTAGGCTTTGACTTGGTAGGCTCATGCATGTTTGCCTATGCCCAACGGCTTGACGCGCGAGTGCCTAGTCTACACCTCATTCGTACGCTTGGCCTATGGCACGGCGTGTGAGCACCGGCTTGCGCGCCTCGTGCGTGGACTCGTCTCGTTATGCGCCTAGTGTATGATCGCCTAGCTAGTAGGCTCGGCCTATCGTGCACCCGGTGCACAACCAACTAGAGGTGTTAGTGTTCGCGAGTACTAAAGTCCAACATCGACCTTGCGTGCCCCACTCGGTTTTTAACTCAAATTTCAGTTTTAAATTCATATAAAATATAAAAAAAATAAGATTTACAATTAGACGAGCTAATCCATATAGTTAATCATAATTAACTACATATAATTAAAGATTCAATGGAGGCTCCGATACCAATTGAAGGATCATGCATCATATGGAGATATGAAATAAAACAAAAATTTCCTCCATCTAAAGGATCCAAGATCATACCGTTGAATCAACTAATCATATATTCATGAATTAAAGCAATGAATAGCGAATTATCTTTTGTAGCACAGATTTAAACCTTTGTAGAAAAGAGCCATCCAAGTGTTCGACCTCTATTGATAATCCACGCAGTCCAAGCACCCACAAAAGAAGCACTCAAAATTGATAACGTGGTAGCTCTATCTTTTTTGACTTATTTAGTGTTTCTGTAGAAATCTAATTAGGTTAATTTTGTAAAAACCCAAAGAGAAGAGGAAAATAGCTTGTGCTAGGGTTTTAGGAGAAAATATTTTCTCCTTCTATTTTTCTCTTAAGTCATGTACCACTAGCTCTATCTTTACTTATGTTGTTTTCTCTCTCTTTTTCATCCATGTTATTGTTGCACCTCTCCTCGTATTTATAGGAGAGAGTTTCCTTGTCTTCCAAGGAAAATAAGGGGATTAGCAACATGTCTTAATTGGACTCTTGGTTATTGCTTCCTAATTCTTCAAGGATTATAAGTTATTTTGGATGTGGGCTTTTTGAGCTTTATTTTTAAAACATTTATCCTTATCCAATAAGGTTTATGTTTAACCTCTCACCAAAATATCTTTTAGGATTTTAATTAAACCTATTGGCCTAAAACCATTTTGGTCCAAATAATTAATTTGGACTATCCAAATTAATTAAGTTAGATAATTTTAGGTTGCCTATATTAGGAAATAATTTCTCAAAATACCCTCAAACCTATATTAATAAACTTTTATTTCATTAAATTTATCTCATAAATATTTTTATTTTTGCCAAAATTGATCATAAGTCAAAATTTCAAGTTTTATTTTCTAAGGCAAATTAATTTTTTTTTATGGCAACATATTAAACCGATAATTGGACCTCTCTGTTGAATTTCTTGTTAATTCAAAATTGAATTCAGATTTAAATCTCGACATATATATCAAAGAACAATATAATTACTAAAATATAATTGATTTAGGCAAACATCATTCCCTATTAGATAAGAATTTTTTTTTTATCATTTTCTAATATATACATATATGATGAGGAGTCATCATCAATCCTTAAAAATTAAAAGATTAGACGACCCGTTCACCTATTAATTATCTAACTTAATTAATAAAATAAAATCTAAAACTAAATGTTGACTAAATAAATAAACATCATTCACGGTTAGATAGGAGACTTTATTAGTATTTCATATATATTTTCTTTTTCTTCCTCTTTTTTTTTGTTTTATTTTTTCTTAGGATTTCCTCTCTATTTTTTTCTTTTTCTTTGTCATTTTTTAAATCAAATTCCTTCCTCTCTTTTTTGTTTTTATATCATTTTTGTATCATTTCATCATTTTTTTTTATTTTTTTCTTATATATATATATATATATATATATATATATATATATATATGGGGAGTCATCATTAATCCTTAAAAATTAAGAGACTCGACGGCTCGTTCACTTAGTAATTGTCTAACTTAATTTATAAAATAAAACCTAAAACTAAACATTGAATAAATAAATAAATATTACATAATGTATTAAAAAGAGAATTTCGGGTTGATTTATCTAGAAAAAAGGGCTAAAATAAGTATTGGGCTTTTTGGGCTCGATGGACCTTTAGCCTATTGGGCCGGGCCTACTAGACTTAGCCTTCTAGGGTTGGCTTGCCCTTCCTTTTCTTTTAGGCTTGGGCGAGCTGAAATCAGCCCAAGCCTTGGCTATACGGGCTAGGTTTACCCTAGTCGTCGTAAATTCAATATGGTTTGGGCTTAGCCTAGCCTTCATCCATTTCGTCGGCAAAGCTATCCCTAAGCCCTACAACATTTTTCCTAAGCTAGCCCCAAATTGCCTAAGATCAAACCTCTATACCTTTCGTCTCTTCCTCATCCTATACTTCTTCTAGTTTTGTGAAACCCTCCCCAAGATCGCACAACCTCTTCTCCTTCCTCTCTTTTTATTCAATTCTCAACTTGCTATAATAATAAAAAATAAAGAAAAACAAGCCAAAATCATACTATCCAAATATTCTTCCCTCCTAGGTGGCGATGTGTGTCTCTTCCCGACTTTCTCCTCGGTTTTCTTCTCTTTAACACTCTACTTGTCCAAGGCATCATCAACAACAATTGCATCCCTATTTTCCTCTAAGCTCTCTTAAGATTCGACAACTTAAAACCTTTCCATAAAGGTTTTATAATTTTTAATAGATGTAAAACGAATATAGAATAACTCATTCTTCAATTCACCATCAACGAAACCCTTAGCGTGCTACGGACACAATTTATCATTCCTTATATGCTCATGCACTCTCTCTTTCTACCGATTCCTATCCTTGTCAAATATATAAAGCTTTAATTTCAAATCAAGGATCGCCTCTTCATTTTCTTCACTAGTCGAGACGACAACCTCTTCGAGTTTAACGGTCGAGCTACTCGAGCGTTGATGTCTTCGTCTTCACCGACCGGGGCTTTTGTGTCTTCTTTTCACTCGATCGGGGCTTTTGTGTCTTCTTTGTGCTCGTGTTCAAGCTCGATGCTAGTCATTGGATTCAATGCTTTTGGTTAGAGAGAACAATAAAGTGGATGTCGGTGTTTTAGTTTCAATAGGGATTGGGGTTTTTGGGATTGCTAGCGGTAATGAAGGTCTTAGTTGTTGATTTAAAGGTGTCGAGGTTGGTAGCATATGTGATTGTAGGTCGTTACTTGAATGGGTTTCGGTAAGGGCAATGAAGGAGGTTGGTTATGGTACTAGTAAAGGAGGGTGGTATGTAGCTCCTAAATCTATACACTAAGTGTTTGATAAAATTCTTGTATGACTCCCATTTAGGCATCTATTTTTTCTTCCATTCATTGCTTTTTGGTAGTTGGATCTTGATTATTAGGGGTTGAAAATGGCTTCAATGATAGTAGAAAGGTTGGTGGAAGAGGCTTCGATTAGAAGGGATGATGGTGATGGCTCATTGCAAGTGAGTGTGTGCAGAGTGAGGGAGGATTGGGTCTATAACAAAGGTTATTGGCAGTTTTATTTATTTATTTTTTTTGGAGTTGTGGTAAAAGGGTGAGTTATGTGGTTGTAGTGGTGTTTGATGGCAATGAAAAAAGGCTGCAAAAATGGAGCCGAGGGAGAGTTGCGGTAAGGTTGTGTGTTTGTTAGTGTGAAGAGGTGATCGAAAAAGGGAAGCATAGGAGGTTCAATGATGAGGGAAAGGCTGGATATTGGTGCAAAAGGGAGAAGGAAATGGGTTCATGGTTTGGCTTACTTGAGTTGGGTGGTTGGGTTATGGCTGCCTTGAGGTGGTTTGGTGGGAGTTTTTGGGGCTTTTTTTTTTGGTAAAGCTTAGGGCACAAGTGGTAGGGATGAATGGCGTAGGGTCCGTGAAGGTTTTTTTTTTTTTTTGGGCTAAAATGATGAATTATGACCACCTACATTTTTTTAACTAGTTTGTTTTTTTTTCTCCTTGAGCTAGAGATGGATGATCATGGAGGCTATTAGGGTAGATAGTGTTGGACTACATTTTTTCTTAGCTAGGTTTTTTTTAGTAGGGGTATAACTCGTGGAGGTCTTTTGAAAATTGTAGGAAAAAGATCTTTATATAGAGGATTTTTATGATTTGGGAATAAATCATCTTCCAATTTTGTTTCTTTTTATATTTTTTAATTAAAAATGGAGAATAATTAAAATCCTAGAAATGTCTAAAAATCATTAAAGAAAGAACTATGCAACATTATTATTATTTTTTTATTATTTTGAATTTTCTTTGAATTTTAATTTATACAAAAATAAATAGGGGTCAATAATGGGTTTATTACAACCATATTTGGAAATTGTTGGATTATGGAGTATTATGCTTGAATAAGATTCTAAGATTAAAAAATTCAACTCATATGTTGATCAAAACGAGTTAAGATTAAGTCTGAAGTTTGGTATTGCTTCAGTTAACCTTCATGGTTAGTAATGAGAAGGCACTAGGAGGAATTGAAGTTGGTTGAAAAAAATAAAAAATTATATAAGGTTTTAGTGTTATTCGAAAATTAGTCTCAAAGTGAGATATTTTTAAGTCGTAGAGATTAACATAAATATGGCTTATAGATTAGTATACTATATAGAGTCGGCACATCGATTTTGGTAGTCGGATAGCAAACAAAGGTCAAGGGGTAGGACCTCCGAAAGGCTCATGATATATTAGGCCATGTGCATAGGTCAACCATGTGTATACGTCCATAAGGGTTTTTCTTTAATAACTTTAGTTTTTCATATTGTAAATAAGATAATATCTCTTGTATTTATAGGCTGTTAAATTAAAAAAAAAATGGGTACAATTTGTTTCCTAACATTGCCTCCCTAATAAGTAAATCCTAATAGGTATAATTTATCGAACTATGTAAATCTTATATTGTGTGATTGTTTTATTTTATTTTCTTTTTTGATTTGTTTCCTAACATTACCTTTTCGCTTACAATGACCCTAATAATAATAAATAGTTCATCTTCTAATATTTTTTCTTTTTATATTTTTTTAATTAAAAATGGGGAATAATTAAATTCTAGAAATGTCTAAAAAACATTTTATAAAAAAAAACTATGCAACATTTTTTTAATTATTATTTTGAATTTTCACTTTTTTTTTTTAAAAAAGAAAATTTTAATTTGTATGAAAATAAATAGGGATAAAAAAATGGGTTTATCACAACTATATCTAAGAGTTGTTGGATTATAGAGTAATATGCTTGAACAAGATTTTAAGATTGGAGAATCCAGTTGATATGTTGACCAAAATAGTTACCATTGATAAGCCGAGGTTTTGTATTGCCTCGGTTAGCCTTCATGATTAGTGATGAGAAGGCATTACACTAGAAGGAATCGAAGTTGGTTGAGAAAAATGGATAATTATTGGAGGTTTTGGTGCTATTTAGAGATCGGTCTCTCAATGAGATATTTTTAAGTTGTAGAGACCGATATAGATATGACTCATAGATTAGTGTATTATACAAAATCAGCAAGTCGGTCTTAACTAGAAATGCCTACCAAAAAAAAAAAAAAACTATGTAACATTTCTTTATTAAAGAACAATCCTAGTTTTCCACATTATAAATAAGATAATATCTCTTATACTTATAGTCGTCAAATTTAAAAAAAAAAAAAAACAATAATAGAAACTCTTAGTAATAGTAATAGAGTAGGTACAGTTTTGTTTTATTTTTTTATACAATTTTGTTTTATTTTTTTATTTGATTTGTTTCCTAACGTTGCCTCCCTCCTAACAATGACACTCTCTCTTATGAGAAATTTTATAATACATCGAGAGTAACTAGTGTCATGTATAATAATTATTCTATGGGCCCACTTTGAGGAGAGAGATAGACACACAAAAAATAGTGAAATTACATTCATACTTATCAAAAGTAATAAGAAGATTTCCACGTCCGCTCAAATTTTTTTATTTTCTCTTTCCTGTTTCTCTTTTTTTTTTTTTTTTTTTTAAATGTTTATATCTCTCTTCAAAGTAAGCTCATGGAGTGACTACTATACATGTCACTAGTTACTCTTTGTGTATTATAAAATTACTCCTCTCATATAACGATTTTGTTCCATACTAATTAATCCCGTAACAAATATCTAACAAACTCCAGCTCATAATCCCGTAGTCCCCGACTAATTGTAATTGCTTTAATGAACTAATTCAACAACGGCCAATAGCCAAGTAAGAAATGCCACCTCATCACATAATCCTTGCGTGAGAATAGTTTTCATGTAAGAGCTAGCCATCCTCTCACGCAAAACCCTGCCAAGTAGTTTCATGAAGATAGCCCATTAATACAGCTGCATCAGGATTGGTCTTAAATCGAAGATTTCAAGCCCCCCAACCTCCTAGAATCGAAAAATCAGGCCTAAGCCTTGTGGTGGCCGCAAGGAAGCGTGAAAAATGGAATTCAGACCTTAAATTTCCTCATTGAAAGTCCAAGACTCTTACCACCGAGCCACTCCTACTGCACATTCACATCTAACTACCAACCACCACATGCACAAAATACAGAGAAGTATCACAAGAGGCACAACAAGCATACAGAGGTGAGCAGAACAAAGTACATGCATCTCGCATGGTAATGGCTCAAAATTCAACACTCTTGGGTCATGACTAATTGGCTCTTACTAATTCACTTCTCCAATTTCCTGCTTTAATAATAGTTTAACAGAAAGCCCATATCATGTTGTTGGGAGGCCATGCAGAATGAACCCAGACATGGACTCTTTTAACACTCGACAGCTCATCTTTGCTTTCAGTTTTTTCAATGGAACGAAGTCAACGTTTGCCTAATTAATAGCAGTTCATGAGAAACTAGAGGGATTCCTGTTAAAAAAGGAGCAAACCAATAAGAAGAAGCTTCGGGAAGGCAAAATTAAGACAGCATAGGAAGTTATGGGTCATGAAGAATTCATCAGACAAAAATTATGTTGGGCTTTTGACTTTTGGTCTCTTGTTACGCATTCAACTCTGTCAGGACTCAATTTGAAGGTCAACGAGTGATTCAATTTAAGGGTCATTTTTTTATTTTTATTTTTGGTTGTGCTGTAGGAATAGCTTCATGTGTTGGTGACTTGGTGGTATTTTCAAAGAGAATATTGAAGTTAATTGCAGAGACCAGTGCTGGTCAGCTTCGTTTTCTCATAGGGAAATATAGTTGGCATAGAAGAATGAATTCATTGATTCTGCGACTCTCTCTAGCAAGACAGCCAGACATTGCAGGGATGATCTGGTTGAGCGAGTGCTAATATTAAATGCTATGAAAACTCTAAGATGATGCTCTTGAGTCTTGAATTCAATTTTCTACAGCTTTGAACAGTGTGTTTGTAATTTCAATAACATATTTTTATAATTCTTAGCTTTTGCTCTTTAAAAATCATGTGTTAATTTCTTAACATTTTAATATTTAAATTATTGAAAAAGATGAATCAATATTAACAATATTTTGACGCTATTGAAGCAAATTATAAGATATTGTTGTTAATTCATACATAAAGGAAAACAAATTACCTGGCACAAGAGAATCATACATAAAAATAGTACATACTATATCAATTATTAGGACATGTAGTTGTAGAGCTGACGAATACTAATCGGGGAGCTTATGCCTCCATCATCATCAAGCAATTCTTTTGCCATGATAATATTAGCAGCTTCTGTCGGGTGATAAGCATCCCAAAACACGTACTTGGATCGATCATCACATAAAACAGATTGTGAGTTTTCATTAGCACCCTTAAAGCAAACAGATGGGGGAAAGTATCCTCCACAACATGGCTCATTTGCATTCTCGAATCCTTGCACATTAGCAACCATAAAACAATTGGAAACTTGTATCAATGGGAAGGAAAAATAAAATGGAACTAAAGAAATTAATTTACTTTCTGAACTTACCATATTGATGATAATTTAGGATGACCTTGAGAGCAATATCATAAGTGTTGGCATAAACAAAAATAGATTGAGGACCCATCTCTTGGTTTAAGCCATTGAGCATCATCTTCACTTCCTTGTTGTAGTCTTGGATTAATTCATTCATCTCTACCAAACAATTTCCGCTTGGTAGTAAATTGAGAGCACGAACAAATGGAATGCAACCGATCGGTCCAAGTCCAGCCACGATGAACTTTCTAGCTCCTAGTTCATGGAGTCGCTTCAAATGTAAACAAAGCATAAAGTTAGCAAAAAATTAGCGACTTGATAAAATGATGAAAAAGTGTTACTATTATATATATATATTATAGGTGTCTGAAATCATCACCTTGAGCTGAAAGGTCAGGTTGGAAATCATAAAATCTTGGAACATTGTAGGAGAAACCTTGTCATTGCTGAAAAAGGGTAGCGATGGTTGCACATAGTTTAGCATATCATTGGATCCTATTGTTATGGAGAAGATTGCCTTCTTTAAGAATTCCCTTGTACCATTCTCCCCCATGATGTTCACCATATAGTTTCTACTTTGCTCAAAATTTTTTACTTGCTCCCTTAAAGGAATTCTTCCGATCTGGATCATAAACATATATAACTCTATTTGTTGGAATATTTTAAAAAGACAACCATGTATATATATATATATTTTTTTTTTTGGGAGGAATTAATTCTATGAAAAAATTGGATTTTATTAATGTACTTACAAATAAGAATCCTGTTCTGTCCAAAATTCCTGATGCTCCCGAGGCGTAATTTATTCCTCTAGTAAGTGCATCAATTTGAGTATTTGGTGCTAGATAAGGTGGTGGAAATGATGTAGCTCCAAGTTCTTGACCTGGATATTGCAACATGTCAAGAAAATTAAATATGAAAAATAAGGGATAAATAAGATAATTTCTTTGTCATTTGTCATCATATTTTTAAATTTTATTAATTTCAAATTTAAATAAACATGATTTAATGTATCGTAAAGTGAAAGAGACAACTTAACTATCTATTATCATTTTTTTCTTTTTCTCTTACCGAATTCTAAATCGTTAAATTCAAAGTTAATAGTGAAATTTAAAACGTAGCTTCTTCAAAGGATTCAAATAATCTGAGAAATTAACAACCTAGGTTCCTAGTAGTAATAGCTATCGTTCAAGGATATATATATATATATATATATATATATATCCTTGAATCCTTTAACTAACAACATTATTTGATGTCATTATGTTAACCAATCTAACCAATCAAATTAAATTGATTTGGCTGGCAAAGATTAAGACTATCAAAAAAACATTTCAACATTTACCTGATATTTTTCCTATGGTCACATTCTAATTTTCCCTCTAAAAATGGCTGGCATTAATTATACATATATAGCTTTTGGAGTTCTTGGGAACATTTTCTTGTCTTCTTCCAACCTTTATATAAATACAAGTTAACGACACAATACGAAAACAGTTTTCTCAAATAAAAAACAACCATAGTTGGCCAAGTTGCTCATCATTTGGGTTAGAAACCAAGCTCGACAACGCTATTGGCGTACGTAGCCTGTTGATCTAGAACGATTAGATTTGCTAAACAAGAAGTATTAATTAAATAGCTGGAAATTACTAAAAAATTACATTTTCTTCATAGTAAAGATATGTCAATTGTAAAACAATATTTTTTTTCCCAGGGATGAATGTGCATTAATTGTATCTGAAATTTAAGAAGCCACTGCTTACAGCTCTATTAATTACCGATAATATCTGATATTGTGCGACCATTGGTGAATCTTCCGGTTGGTTGTCCACCAGAAGGCTTGAAATCGATACCATAAGGAGGAGAATCAGCCTTAGAGAGGGTAAACAAATAGTCATTGTTGCCTGCATCAACCAAAGAGTCACCAAACAGAAATGAAGTGAAAGATAAACAAGGCGTGACTTTAGACAACAAAACCAAGAAAACAGCATATTGTTTGAAGAAATCAAAAGTTCCCATGTTGCTATTACTCCAGCAATTGTAAATTAACAACATGCATGACTAAATAAAATGACTTGTTGCTGGGTGTACGATTTCGTGATATGTTACTAACAGCGGCCTGCCACAAAGCAGGTGAGATATTTGAATTGGTCACTTGGTAGCAGGTAATTAAAAAAAAAAAAAAAAAAAAAAATCTTATGGATGTCATGGTATTTAGTACTCTGCACTTATGAGATCTTTGAATTCGTCACCTCTTCACTTTTCGTTTTGAGGATGTATTTTTACTCAATGGATGATTGATGATCGGGTGTACTTAACATATATAAGAAATAATTGTTATTGCATTTCCTACTTAACTAAGTTATACTTGATCAAAAAACTCAATCAAGCATGGAGCCTACATGAGAATTCATGAAGCAAAACACTTAATTCTAGCACTCATTTATACGTTGTCCGTCCTTGTGAGAGCTTTAGAAAAAATCTCACTTGCATTCATTACAATCTACTATAACAGCATGGTCAAGTATTTTGGTCCATTTAAAATAACTTCACAATAACTAGCTAGCACTTGATACTCGTGAAAGCTTGAAATAACCATTGACCGGCATGGTGAGCTCCATAATGAGTCTATGGCGCTAGATATTTTATCAGTGATCAACATGAGTTGGAGGGCTCATGTAAGTATTTGCTCACACTTAACATAAGTTGGATTGGCTAGTCAAGTTCGGATTTCACCAATTGTTGGGAATTCATTTCATTAATAATTATTTGCTGGCTGGATTAATTTTTATCTTTGATTTATTAGGATGTTGTTGGAGTGACTAAACTCAATTTACTTTTGAGAAAAAGACACTATATCATTAATAGCAAATTAATAAAAAATTAACTACCGTATTTACATCACTTAAATAAAGGAGAAAAACTATTATAATCTAGAGTTTTTTTTTTTTTTTAACAGAGTACTTTTAAATCTTATTTACAAAAATAAGATTTTTTTAATCTTATTCGTCAAAACAAGGTAGTTTTTACATGTAGATCAAATCACCTACAAATGTTAGTGTTTTTTTAATGCTAATAACGAGTAGAAAAATAATAATAATGAAAAATATCACACAGGTTTCCTTTTAATACAATATAATTTAATTAAGATCCATATTTTCACTAACTTGGGTATGAATTATGCTTTTGCAAATTTGGTTATGTGAGAATTTGATTAAATCATAATGAAAATGAAGGTTTTAGTTGAGGGATAACAAAGTGGGTGAAGATGACTTAATTTATGCAAAACGATCTATATATCCACCGACTTGGGTATGAATTATGCTCTCGATATTGAAAAAAGACAAGAGATAAGTGCATTTTCTGCACCAAGGCACCAACATCAACTATTCTTTTCACTTGATGTGTGTATGATTCAAATCTCTCATTGCTTCGCTAGGATGCCAACAATTCTGCTAACCAAGAGACTTCATGTATTTGGAATAAGACTTCTTTATTAGAGTCGGACCTAAAGGAAAAGAGTCCCAACTGATCCTCAATAACATATATATAGCCACATTGCCATGCTAATTCCAACCCCATCGAAACAAGCTAAGTTCTCTATAGCAACAGCAATAAAAATCCCCACGCATGAGTTTTGCCATCTCATCGCCTCCCTAAACTCCCAAAAGAAAAGATCAACACGTTAAAATTAGCAAATAGCAGAAGTCTATGCACATACTAGTGACCACAAGCTACATTTTTTTTGATGATCTTGTTGTTGAGCCATTTTAAGTTTTACGAAGAGATTGCTATGGAGTTACTAGTTCTTGAAGGTTTATTTAATTTGGCTTTACTAGAGCAATTGTTTTTAGATCTTGTTGATGAGTTAGTGGGATTGGGTCTATTAGTATTTAATTTTATCCGATAATCGTAACTAATGAAATTGATGTATTGCAAATGATATTTATTTTTAAAATTATTAGTGAATTTAGCATTTAAAAAAATTGACATACATAGGTGATTTGATCCACATGGAAAAAACTATCTTATTTTGGCAAATAAGATTAAAACAACCTTATTTTTATGAATAAGATTTAGAATTACATTGTTTTTTTTTTTAAAAAAAGCCCTCCTATGATCTAACCCTTTAAAGACTCTCGATGATGATGAATTTGATTGAAAGAAAGAGACTTATTCTAACGACATTGAGTGAGTAAATCTTGAACCTAGTGATATAATTATGCATAACAATTCTACAAAACCTTACAAAGTAGTTAATTAATGTTGACACATGTCATAACCCAAATTTCCCCAAAAAATTTTATCCCTTGTTGATTTTTAATGTTGACTAGATTTTGAGTTATTTTATTTTATTTTATTACCCTCTTTGTTTATTTGTTTGTATTTGTATTTTCATTTTGGAATCTACTATATATATATATATATATATATATATATATATATAGAGAGAGAGAGAGAGAGAGAGAGAGAGAGAGAGAGAGAGAGAGAGAGAGAGAGAATAAAAAATCCAAAAATATATGTATAAAATAAAAAAAAAATAATTACATTAGGGGCATAATTGAATCAAATAGAATTGAGATTAAAGTATTAGGGGTACAATAGAAACAATTGGAAGTCCTAAGACTGAAATTACAAAACCTAGAGACCCAATTAAAAAAATCAAAAGAACAAGGGCTATAATAATACATCCCAATGGTAAAATTGAAACAAAATTTAACTCCGTAAGGACCTAAATCAACCTAAGACATAAATGATAGGACCAATTTAGATCATCTAAACAACTTGTCATCCAAGCTTCTTTAACAAGGCTCCAAGCACGCTAGCTCTTGCATCCTACCACCCTTTGGCTCTATTCATCTTCATTAGTGAAGACAACGGACTAGAAGGGACAACAATGCCAACTCCTTCTGGACTGTAATTCTCATTAAGGAATTATGGTGTACCTCTCCCTCTATCATACTGCACATGCACCAAAAGGACATAAAAAAAACACACTCGCATAACATTAAGCATAAGTTTTGACTCTATTCATATAGAGCCAAAATAAACGAGTAGGTAATGAAATTTGTTGGGCTATGAGAGAGGTTGAAATTGATCTCGAGTGTGAGGAGAACCTTTGGGTATAAATAGGGGTCCGATTAAAGAATGAGAGGAGAAGAAAAACAATTATGAAAATAGAAAGGAAACAATTATGGGAAAACATGAAGAAAATTTTTTTTTTAAAAAAAGGAAAAAATTATGGGAATATAGAGAGGAAAAATCATTATAGGGGAAAAGGGAAGAGTAGTTGAGAAGAGGGAACAATCGAGAAAGGAAACGAGTTAAGGGAATTTGGAAGGGAATTGAGATAAAAACAAATTGTAAGAAAGTTTAGAAGCTAGGGATTCTTACCAAGCTATGGGAAGAAGGAGGCATTAGAACCAAGCAATATCAAGATAGCCTCTATAGTTCCTAGGCTTCGAAGGATTCTATTCCTTTAGTTTGAACGACCACTCGCCTATTGTCACTTGTATATCCTCACCCAAACTCTCTCAATCGGATACCAAGTAAGATTTGCTTTGATTTGTAGCTCCTATATGCATCAATATAGCTCTTGATAGCTCCAAGATGAACAATGGCATTGATATTCATCATTGTCATCCCATAGAAACCCCATCCCCTTTTCAATTTCACTCATTATTACATTTGATTTTATTATAGATGAGAGCCTTGATGACTCATAAGGGTTAGATTTTAGGATTATTTGGTCGATTATAGGTTCAAGCTTTGGATTTAGGGTTCAATGAAGACAAAGGGTATGAAGATCAAGGCTGGGTAGAGGTAGGAAATAGATCTAAGTTTTGAGATCTACAAGACGAATAGAAGAAATTAGTTGAGATTTTAAGCTATCTAAGTGGAAGATCTAGGAGATGAGATATATTATAGGTTTGATTTTTAAGGAGATCGATTAAGCAAAAGGGAGAAGATGAATTGATTTAGGATTTCTAGTTAGAGACGAGAAAGAGGAAATCGAGGGGTTTTCTAGACAAAGGCTTAAGGCTTTCTAGGTTAAGGCTTAAGGTTTTCTTCCAATTTGAAGGAGGAGTAAAGATAGATCAATCTCAATCAAAGTTTGCGGAAGATGAACACAAAAGAAGAGAAATGGGAAAAAAAAAATAGAGACTTAGGTGTTTGAGTCCAAAAAAATTGGGCTAAGTTTAGGAAAATATTTGGGTGAATGGGTTTGGGTCAAGTCGAAGTAAAATGAAATAGAGAAGGGGTTGGGCTTACCGTGAAAGGTTAAGCGGGATCGGCTAAGCCCGACTTGCATGACCAAGACTTGGGCTAACTTTAGCTTAGCCCATGCCCGAAATAAAGAAAAAGGCGAGCCAACCTAGAAGACCGACCCATCAAGCAAGCCCAAAGTCTAATTCCCCTAATTTAGCCATTTTCTAGATAAGTTAGTTCTAAAATTTTCAATACATTCCTTTTATCTTATGCCAAGTTTAGATTTAATATTTTGAATTATTGAGTTTTTTTTTTTTTTTACATTTATTTATTTACTTACTCAATGTTTAGTTTTTAGATAATTAGGTTAGATAATTAATTGGCAAAAAAATTATCAAGTCTCTTAATTTTTAAAGACCGATAACGATTCCTCATCAACCAATAAAAATATAATAATAAATAAATAAATCTAAAAAAATGAAAAGAAAAAATGATAAAAAAAGAAAATGATAAAAGAAAAAATGTTAGATGAAAAAAAAACAGAGAAAAAGAACAAAAGAAAAATATAGAAAATAATAGGTGGTAATTAACAAAGTCTCTTATATAATAGGGACCGATGTTATCTCAAATCAATCATATTTTAGTAATTAGGTCTTTTTTGACATGTCGAGTATATCGAGACTTAAAGTGAATCCAATGTTGAACTAATGAGATACCCAACGAAAGGGTTCGACGATCGATTGAATATGATGCCACAAAAAAAAAAAATTAGAATTTTAACTTAGGATCAATTTGGCAAAAATAGAAAT